CAGTTGTGAGTACACCTGGTAATTTTTCTCTTAGTCTCTCAGGAGGATTTTCCTACGTTGTGGCTGGTGCCAGCTTATCACAGGCAGCCAAACAACTGCACAGACTGTCAGAGTTTATGGTAAATTGCAACACACAGCTGGATTGCTGCCCTCAGCCAGTATCTCTGTTCTTATATTGGTGAGCAAGACAGCTCCATGGCGCTGCAGGATCCTTTGCCTGGCAGAGAGGCCATATCACCTCTCCTAAATGCACTCCAAGCTGTCGCTGGTGCTGGCTTGTCTCAAAAGTAAGTCAGGCAACTGAGCAGTGGTTTGGAGTTTATGATAAATCACAACACAGAGCCAACACCAGGCTTTGTAGACCTTTGCCAGTGTCTTTGTTCCTATACTTTGTCCCATGGTGCCTGCAGGGTCCTTTGCCCACAGAGAGGCTATATCACTTTTACAATATACTCCAAGCAGCGGAACCACTTCTATGGCCTTGGGGATCTTTAGGTTGCCTGCTTCTGGGGCTCATCTCTGTTCTCCCACCAGAGCACTGCCCAGCTCTTCAGGCATGAAACTATTAACATCACAGACCTCTGAAACATTTGAGTCTGTGTCCTGCTGTTTACAAAAAACTAGCAATATTGTAACCCTTCCTTTTTCCGTGTCAAAAGTTTTGGGGAGTAGTTTTCTTGTGTAGTCATCTGTGCGTGTTTTCACTCTTTTTTTTCATTATTATTCTCTTCCTTTTTCTCTCTCTCCTTCTTCTCTCTCACTACTCTCACCATAGTCAGGGCTCCCTCTCCTTGTGAATGTCTGTGGCTCTTTTCTCCCACAAACTCTAGGCAGTTCCTACCTTCCATGGTCACATTTCTGGTTTGTACATGTGCAGCTTTGTTCTCTAAGACTTCCATTTGATTTTTGGATGTTCAGAATAATTTTATATTTATCTAGCTGTGGTTTAAGGGAGGATACAAGCTTAAGGTCACCTTACTCTTCTGCCATTTTACCTCCACCCCCCCCACCCCGAATATCTTTCACTTTTAAAGTTAAAGTTGATGTGGTTTTAGAGTGGTGGGGGGGGGGGGTCCAGAGCTGACAGCCAGGAAAGAATTCTTGAGACAAATTTTATGCAAAAAGGTTATTTTGTTAAGGCATGGGGACAAGAATTATGGGCAGAAAGTGCCGCAATGGAGTTGTGAAGAATGACTGATTATATACTATGTAAGTGGGGGAGGTAAGGGCAAAAGAGGTTTCCAAAAAGACTTTCAAAAAGCTAAACAGGACTCATAAGATACTGGAGGCTTAGTTATTGTCAAGCTAAGGTTGTTTTTCCCTCTAGCAAAACAT